TATAAAAATAATTTGATATAATTAATATTAATATAAAATTAAAACTAGTAAATAAATATTAATTAATAATAATAAATGATAACAAATATTAATGATGATTATAATTGAAAAAAATGGGAAAAACCTCCTAAAACCTACTAGCAGTTTGATAAGCTGACTAAAAATAATGCCTAAATTTCTAAATAAAAATATTTACATTTTAGTCATTATGGTTGCTATTTTTACACTTTTGATCTCTTTGACTAACTTATGCCGAGAGTTTCGTTAACTCAGGAATATTTTGGTCTTCTTTTAATCATTTTAGTTTAATTTCAAGATAATATATATATATATATATATATATATATATATACACACCCCAACTAATATAATATGCATATTATTAATATTTGAGTAAATTATGATTTTCATTTATGTAGTTTGTAATTTGTTGTTGTTTTCGTGACTGAAACTGAATCTATTAAAAATCCTCCATTTAGTTTAGTGGTAACTTAGTCTTTTTTATTTTTGTTTATTAAATATCTTTTTTGGTATTTTAGTCCTTGTGATTTTTTTTGTTTATTGATTATCTTTTTTGGTATTTTAGTCTTTTTGATTTAATTAAACATCAAACCACGGGAACGAAAATCGTAGTTTATTCCATTTTTTTTTGGCCCAGTTGAAGAAAGTGTTGAATTAAGTGATCCAACAAAAAAATTAATTATGGAGTTTGACTAGAGTGCCATGAGAAAGTGACATGTCACAATAGCACTGTGATACTAAGAGTATGGTCGTCTCGACTATTTTGCCATGCGATAATGACATCTGTCACAAGAGCACCCATGGTATTGAGAGCATGGTTATCTTAACTATTGTGCCATGCGGCTGTGACACCTGTCATGGTAGCACCGGTTATACCAAGTGTTTGGTGGTCCCGGCGATTGTGTCATGCAATAGTGACACTGACACAATATAACAACTAGATCTTTGGTAAGGTGAAATCCCAAGTCCAATATGTGTTTCACCATTAGAATAGTTTGATTAATATTTTGAAGTTGGATTATATTGGGTATCATCTTTTAGGCAAGAAATAGACTCAAACGGGTGAAAAATAGGAAAAATTATCAATACAATTACAGGTCATGGATAATGCCTGACGATATTGCCATTGGTCACAATAGCATGTCAAGGGGCGCCAAGGGAGAAATGGATCCTTACAATCCGGGCAATTGTGCGCGGTGAAAGTGACAAGGGCACAAGCGCTTGTCACTATTATGGGCGACCTGTAGTGCTTAAAATCGGGATTTTCTTCATTTGATCATAATTTTTTCACTTCTTCTCCATTTTGGACGATTCAAGTTGATATGGATCCGTAATTCGAAGCCCTTCAAGATGGAAAGAATGAGGATTGAACTTTCCTGGAAGATATGGGGTTCTTATAAGTCAAAATGTAAGCTTTTTTTTGGGGGGGGGGGGGGGTGGATGATATTTATGGTTTGATTTATGAATCTAATTTGGGGTTGCTTTTGGAGTATGGTGAATTTGTTTATGACCCATATGAAGGTCCTGGTGATGGATGTTGTGGACCTGAAGCTTTTACCAAAGGAAACTCAAGTTGTGAAGTAAAACTTAGATTTAGTCTAAATCTAGCAAGATGAGTTCAAGTTGCTTTGTGAAAACAATGTACATGCCAAAATGAGTATTTTGAAGTATTAAAGTGCTTTCTTTGATGTTTATCAAATGTGTGGAGTATTTGACTAAGTTTACACATGTGGTAAATTTGAGTTAGTAAATCTTATGAAATACACTTTGGTGAACAAATCTCAAAAATGTGAACCTTTGGTAATTTATTGTACAAATGGAGATTTCTGATATAAATGCACTTTGGTGTATTTGGTTTTATAAATCGTTTGAAAAATGCATGTTATTGTGTTATGGGACATTTTGAGAATATAAATGGTATGATTTAAATGGAAAATGATTTGTCCCAACTGATGAGGTGTTTTTGAGTTAATCATGTCTTTGGAACATGTATTTGCATAAACGTCAGTTACGTTTTATTGCTTTTGATGACATTTATGAAATAGTCTATTGGGTTCTTGGGGATATTTGTCCTGTTTAATTTGCTCTATGTCGAGCTTTTGGAGTTATATGCAGTTATGGCATAATTATTTGATATATTACACCTTTTGATCGATGACCGATGACTGACTTCAAGAGCCCACACCTTATTTGTCTATGAAGGCTTGATGCCTACTTCAAGTTACAATACGAAGTTGGCATCCCCAAGAAAAACCAACTTCTATGCCTATGCAAATGGTACTAGCGACACCGTGATGAGATAAGTGTTAGACTGAGAAGGATTTAGTTTATCGTTGATGTCTTCCACAAATCACAATCACCGTTCGTTTGTAAAAATAATATCTCATACTCCTTTCGTCCTAAAATAAATGTTAATAATAAAAATTATATATGATTTTAAAAATATTTAATTATTACATTTTTTAAATAATTATAAAACAATTTTACTATTAATCATAGAGAGAATTTTTTTTCTATCTCATAATCAAAGGTAGAACAGAGAGGTACATATTTTTAAAAGTGGACATTTATTTTAAAACAAATTAAAGTATAAATGTGGACACTAATTTTAAATTCTAGTAAACAAATAACAAAGTGAATGATCGTGTGAGAAATGAAATTACAGTGAGAAGCGTAAGAAGAGATTTGAACTTTTGATCACTTTTAATCTCATGCAACCACGAACTGTGCTTTAGATGGAAATTGATCTATTGCATCTAGGTGCACTTTATTAGTGTTGACATTCAATTAGGATTAATCTAAGGGTATAGATCTTTTCTTACGCTTCTTACCGGAACCCAACCCCAAATAACAAATCAAATAAAAAAGGGAATTTATTTCTAAGTGTTGCGCTAACTTGTAGTATTGCCTAAGGGTGTTCAAAAACCCGACTAAACCGATCAACGCAACCCAAACCAACCTAACACGAAATAACTCAATCTGAAGCAACCCAAAGTTTAATCGAGTTGTAAAATCTTCAAATTATAGGTATTGGATTGATATCGGGTTACTTTTATTTGAGCCCAATCCAAACCGATGAACCCGATATCATTTTATTTCATAGATTTTAGTATGATTATTGAGTCTCTATTAATATGTACATTAAACAATTACACAATCTCTTACCTTATTCATATACATATATTTTCAATATATTCTCCATCTCTATGTAACTCTTTTGTACATATGTTTAGTAACTGTGAACATATGTATGCAAAATATTGAAAAATTAATTGATATACTTAACATTTAAGAAGTATGGATAGTTGTTCCAAGTGGTTGATGATGAAAAGTAAATGATGAGTAGACTAGAGAAAACAACATATTCAATGTTAGGACAATATTTTGATGTACCAAAATATCAACTCGATCAACCCGTAGAGTTTGGATTGGGCTGCACTTTGGTTTGGTTTGGTTTGGGTTGGGTTGGGTTGGGTTGAGACTTTTCAAACCGCAAGTATGGGCTTGGATTCATAATCGTTTTTTCCATATAGAAAACAAACCCTGAACGTTTCATATATATGAAGCAACATTGTATTAACTTTGCATTTTCATACGTAATAAAAACTGATTTGTGAATGTGCAATATAACAGGTTTGTAAATAATTGGTTTCATAAATATCTCGATTGTTTCATTATATAAATAATGATCATATAACAAATGAATCGTATCATATTCTATAAATATCTCGGTCATAATAAATAAAGGACAAGATAAATATCTCAAATGTTTTTTAATATCAAGTTTGCATTGTTTGTAACATTTACATGGTTTATATTTAAAACTCTGTATGTGTGTATATATATATGTATATATGTAGGTATGTACCATAGATTTGTGTATATAAATTATACTTAATGATTTAATATATATTTTTAGAAAAATGTTTCAAATATTAAGGAGTCGTTTACCAAACGCTTACAGGCAAGAGAAATCACCTTCACTTAACTTATCGTTTAACATTCTTGGCCAAAGTGGATTATTTGTAAACGTATTTTCTGTTACGAACTGGATAAAATTCTCGATAATTGTTATGCTTCTTATAGGGTAAGATTGTCGGTTCTTTTCGTGCTCAATTGGTAAAGTAAGTGATTAGTAAGCGACAATTGCATACATTTTTTTTTCTTGAACCCGAAGTGAAAAGAAAAATATTTTTTTTTATTTATGTTATCGAAAGGGGAGGAAAATGAAGGGAAAAAAATGAAAGAAAATAAATTTTCATGTTCTTGAACATGAGAGAAATGAAAAAAAATATGTCAATTTTACTAATATACCCTTCAAAAATATACTCTTTCCTTCTCTTCTCGTTTCTCCCACATTTAGGAGGAAAATTTTGAGACCAAACTTTTTAGGTGGCGTTTGGTTCACGTAATGGAGTGTGTCGGAATTGAAATGTGTCAAATGAATTAGAATATGATGTAGTTTTTGGTTCACATAATGGAATATGTTGGAACTGAAATCTATCTAAGGAATTGGGATCTGAAAGAATTGTAATGTGATTTAATCATGTTTGACCATGTATTTGGTTGACAAGAATTGGAATGGAATCAGTCACAAAAATTTGAATTTGTCTGTTTGGTTCATCGAATATATATTATAATGGTTTCGGGTAGAGGCAGTTACGGTATCAATGGTGGTGGCAGTAGTGGCAGTGGTGTTGACTGTGGTGGTGGTGGTGGTGGCGAAGGCGACGACGGTGGTGGTAATGACAAAAGTGGTGGTGGTGATGGGGGTGAAGGTGACAGTGCTGACGATGGTGATGACGGTGGTGGCAGTGACGACGGGTGGTGGCGGCAACAACGACGACAGGAGGTGGTCACGGGCATGACGGTTACGACAACAGTGTTGACATCCATCATGATTGGATGGAATGGAATGGCATAATATAATTAAAGAGTATAACAGGTTTTCATAAAAGATGGTAGAAAGGAATAGAAATTACTTGGTAAAACCTAAGGAATTTACATTCCACCATTTGTGGAATTCTAATTCCTTATGGAAACTTAAAAATGAACCGAATGCACGAATGAGATTTGGTTAATAGAATTGACCATTCCAATTCTTTCAAATTTCGCTGAATTCCAACAAACCAAATGCCACCCAAAGGAATTGAAATGAAATTTAATCATGTTTGACCATGCGTTTGGTTTGGGAGGGATTGGAATGAATCTATCAAAAGAATTTGAATCTCTTTGTTTGGTTCATCGAATTATAGTGGTGGTGGGGTAGAGGTGAAAGTAGTGGGGGAGACAATGGCAACAACAGGGAGGGTTGCGTTACGGTGATAATGGTAATGACGGTGATTGCGACGATGATAACGGAATGGAATGTAATGAACCAAACGGAATGGAATGAATCATTTGTGGAATTTGAATTCCTTGTGGAAATTCAAAAAAATGAACCAAACGGATGAATAAAATTTGGTCAGTGAAATTGACCATTCTAATTCCTTCAAATTCTGCTGGATTTCAACGAACCAAACGTCACCTTAGGGTCCGTTTTGTTTTTGAAATCATTGGTGTGTTAGGTTTATAGGATTTGCAATTGAATTGAATTTTATTATTTACAAATAATTTATAAAAAAATTATAAACAAGTAAATTTTCACCAAAAGAAAAAAAAATAAAAAAAATAAACTAGTATTTGGCGGGAAGCATCTCTAACCGCTAAACTACCATATGAATCAACCAATCCAAGTCATCCACGTGGCGCTTTTTCATTGGAGGAATCAGCCCCTCTCCAACCTATATAAACAAGATCTTCCTTCTATTTTGCAGTAGTAGTCTCACTTCTATCGACGCTGACTTAATTTCAGATGGCAACACAGCAAGAGATTTGTAAAGAGACGGAGATGTCTGAAAAAACCGCCATGGATGAGGCTAATGCAGTCAAGATGTCAAGGAGTTATAGAATTCAAGTTTCTAACACCAAGAAGCCCTTCATCTTCTACCTCAATCTCGCCAAGGTCCTCCTCCCTCGATCTCTCTGTTAGCTTTTGGTTCTTGATTGCCTTTTTGTTCAATCAAATGTCTACATGATACTGTTCTTAATCGCCTTCTGTTTTTGATTCAGTACTGTAAATAACTTTTAAAGTTCATGTGGATCGAGTTTTCTTATTTGGCAATCGAATTTAAAGTTTATTGTTTTTTAAACTAGGGCTTAAATCTGTCTCGTCGATAAGTGTGATCTCAGTTTTAATCAGCGATTAAAAGTCGCAATCCTGCTCAATTAATTCATCAACGTGTGTTTTCACTAGGGTTTAATGCCATAACCTTGAAGAAATTTCTTGTTAATTAACCATATATATGTCTAGGGATATGAATCTATGATAGTCACAATCCTTTTCTGTTCTTTTGGGTAGATTCTATCTTGAGATTTGTTTGATGAAATTCTTTCATGAATTGATTTAATCTGTTAACATTGCAGAGATCCATCAGCCGTTACAACAGCGTGGAGCTTACAGCTTTGGGAATGGGTTAGACTTTTTAACTATACAAGTTCTGCAACTTTTGGCAATAATCATCAAGAAGATAATGCGTCCTAGAACTTGCTTTGAATGACTTGTATTTATGTGATTCATGCAGCCATACCAACAGTTGTTGTAATTTCAGAGATTCTGAAAGGAAACGGACTGGCAACTCAGAAATGTAAGCATCCCATAATCATCAAGAAGATGATCTCAATTCTTTGTCAAATAAGAAGTATCAAAGATTAGTTTGATCTGAATTTCTTTTTATGGTACTGATCACAGTGATCTCCTTATCTACCATCAAAACGACCGATAAATCCACTGGCAGATTGATTCAGAAGGCCAAGGTTTGTTCACTTGCTATTACTATTTCCGAAATCTGTTGCTAGTATCCATCATCTTATAGCCTCATCACTCTTGATTTCAGATTGAAATTGTAATGGCAACAACTGAGCAATCTGATAATGCAATGACATTGAAGAATAAGAGTGCTAAGCCTAAGGTTAATTGTCTTAATATGCTCACAAAGTAGTTCAGCTTCTTCTGACATTATAATTAGTTTTACAGTAAATATCTTACTTTCTCTCATAGGCTGAAGTTGAGTCAGGGAAAACAAAGAAGAAGACCAAAGGAAAATTAGCAGCTGCTCCGGAGATCACTGCTTGTAAATTGCAGGTGGGTTTTGATCCAAGATTTTGGATTTGATCAATTAAGTCATGAAGTTGTGTGGTCTGATCACTCTCTTTGATCATCATTGATTACAGGATGAAACTGTTAATAGCAAGGACGATGTGAAGAATGCAGATACGTAAAAGGTCGGTTTTGTTGCAGTAATCATGTTGATTTGGAGTAAATTTGTTGCAGTTAAAGTGATTCTTTTCTTGCAGACTGATTGGACCTGAGAAATCTGAAGAGAATGTTGATATGCAGAAGTGAAGGTATTAAGTGTTGTTGTATATGCTGGCTGTTACATATATACATTTAGAGAACATCAGGTTGTTAAGCTTTCAGACTTGTTGATAGAATGATATCTCCTGCAATTCTTAAATCCAATTAACATGATTTCATAATCCAAATCTGGTAGTTTACTGGAACAATATGGGTAATCTCATCAAGAAGGATGCTTGTAAGTTGAATCTCATCTCAAAATTTACGAGTTGGGTTGCATTTTTTTAATGAGTTGGGTCCGGTATGCAACTACAAGGACCCAACTCATTAAAATTCCATAACCACCCGGATTGACTCATTAGAAACATGCAACGATGGGAGGTTTCGTTTTAATTTTTCAAATAGGATCGAGGTGCATTAAAAATATCAAATCACATTGTGAAAAACTAATGTCAAAACTTGGAAGAGATGATAATGGGGTCGAAGTTAAGATGGTTGGACTTGCGGGTGTTGGATGGGTCGATTGAAATTACATTTTATTTTAAATGATATAGTTTTTACTAAAGTCGAAACAAGTCAAAATGGGTCGAACGAGTCAAACATCGTTTAATTCTTACAACCTTCTAAATCGTTGTACTACAACAACTATAGATTATTATTTCAATACTATAATTTAATTTCTCTAATCATATTTAATATATTGGATAATTATAAAATGCAAAAAATGACAAAACAGTTAAAACAAAGTTAACCAAATTTCAAAGCCCTGCTGGGCTTTTGAGTTTTTGACTTTTGACTTTTGACTTTTGAAGGCATGGATTTTTTTTTCTTAAGAGTAATGATGAAACATATAATAACGAAAATGAAGATTAGACCCGTTAATTCTACGAATACTCGAAAAAGATCTTTTTAAAAAATTCTTTGATTCAAAGAATACCGAACTTTAGTCTTCAAATCCGAGTTCATCGTGAACTCAAAATTTGGAAAGAAAATGGAAGTTCTTGAATTTCAGTTCTGACAATTCATGTTAGACAAACATGAGGTAAATAGGAAAGCCAAAACAAAAATGGTTCGAAACTATCGCCAAACATAAAAATTTCAAAGGAAAATGTTAATAGTAGCAAAAAACACAAAAGTGTCCAAAGATATATTTAAACAGCGCTTCAGGCCTTATGCAGGACATGCTCCTCGATCTTGTTTCAAGTTTCGAATCAACCGGTAGTGAACCTGAAACAAAAAATGGTCCGAAACTATGGCCAAACATAAAAACCCAACCGAAAATGTAAATAGTAGCAAAAAACACAAAAGTGTTCAAAGACATATTTAAACAGCGGTTCAGGCCCTACGTAGGGGCATGCTCCTCGTTTCAAGCTTCGAATCAACAGGTAGTGAGCCGATCATAAGTTATGGTCGTTTAAGCGGTATATCTCTTTTAGTCCGATCATAAGCCTCCAAAAACAATAAAGCCTAGTCCTTCACGTCATCAAAACTATGTTTCTGTTCCATGTTATTTATTGGAAATTGTACTTTTGTCCATATATTTTCCAAATTATGGTTCTCATCTCTCTTGTTTACAATTCACTGTTTCATAAAACCACAAGGGTAATGTCTGATTGTTTAAGTTTGAGCTCCAATGATCAAAAGTGCCTGAAGGTCTCAGTTCAAATTCAAGGAGGAATAAAAATTATCTTGTGGCCACGAATGTTCAAATATGATGACTCTGTACTACCTACAAAACAAGTGGTCGTCCTGATATTGATCGGTTCACATAACGGGATGAATATTCAGGTTAATAAAAAAATTAACTGTTTCATAATTAAACCATTACGGAATTAGGGGTTGTTTGTTTACCTCTTAATAGTTCCATTAAGAGGCAACATTTGAATCGTTAAGAGGTGAATCTTATTTGACAAAAAAAATCTGCTTCTTAGTGGTTCTAAAACTCTTTGAATGATTTTATATCATTGGTCTCCCTTAACCATTGAACACCATAATTTTATTGTAAACAATTATCAAACAATTATATTTCATTTTACGCTATATCATGAGATACTCTTAATCATTCTGACGTTACAGGGTTGTTTGTTTACCTCTTAATAGTTACATTAAGAGACAACCTCTGAATCATTATGAGGTGAATCTTGTTTGACAAAAAAAAAAAAGACTACCTTTTAATGATTCTAAAACCACCTAAATAATTTTATATCCTGGATCTCCCTTAACCATTAAAAACCGTAATTTCATTGTATACAATTAACAAGAGCTTCTTAATTATTTTGACCACTTAATCATTCTGCATTAAACCATTCAACAATAACCAAACAACAATCATTTTACACCAAACCATTCAGTAACTTTAGAACTGAAAGTTGGAGTTATGTAATTTCGATAGCAGAGTCTACTCTTTTCCTTGCTAAAAACGAACTTCATATAGGTAAACAACCTTAAGTAATTGAACATCTTGGATTTGATTAGAACCGAACCCTTGTTGTTCAGGGATGCTTTCATTTGAAAGAGCCGAGGCGGGATAATCGTTCTCCTTCCCTGACAGGCACACAGCTTTTGATGGTCGGCCATGGATTCAGCAAGACACACATGCTTGAAACTCCAAATCTCCCAACCAATCTTCATCAAAGGCACCTGGTTCTCTTCTCACTTCCATCTTTCCATCACCGATGCTCTAAACGCTTGGACTTGCGACGGTATCATTACTTCTTTCAATCACTTAAAGTAGGTCTTCTCTTAATTTTATTTCAGATTTCTTGATTTCTTTTTTGCAGCATCAGAAGAGGAGGTGAAGGAGAGAGCGTCTAATTGGGACCAACCGATATCGGAGTACATCGATATGTCGGAGCGATATCTAGGGTTTCAACAGCCCGGTTCGGTTTACGGGTTTGCTGATGCTGGAGGAGGCTACAAAAGAGTAGGTACTCTTAAATTAGTCTTGATTATCGTTCCAATTGTTAACTTTTAGAACCTTGGTGCTTTGCAAACAAACCTTATTTGCAAGAACGAACGTTTTTTACTTCCAAAATCAAGCATTCTAGCAACTTGTAGCATCTTTTAGCAACTTTGCAGGACCCATCTGTTTCTTTACAAAGAAACCAAGTGATAATTCTGAAATCATTGTTTGCATAATTCGGTTTAACTTGTTACTAAGCAAAAGACTTTTACTATTGGCATTTGGGATTAGTAGCAACAATGAGAGAGACATCAAAGATTCTTAGTCAAGGAAGATAAAAGTTTGTATTTTCAATATGAAATCAGACCTTTGAATTTCTAGTCTAGATTGTCATCTTTCAGATAATTGTGTGCTTGATTTCTGTGGTATGCTTCATTTATGAAAATGATGAAGCTTGTGCCTTCCCCTCATATATATTATTCTGTTATTAACGCTATAGGATCATGATTTCCAGAAAAAAAGAAGAAGAATATTCAATATTGTTTGTCCTTAAGGGCATTTTGCTCTTTCATCTGGTGTCTTCATACAAGAAATACTTGAACTTTTCATGATTAGCTTATTCCCCTGGACCTATGTAGAAAATGAGCTTTTTGTCTTCTCTTTCGGCTTAGTAATGGCAGCTTCAGGGACCTAGTTACCTGCAATACCGAGAGATTGAAGAGCTATTCTTTAATATTTGTTTGCCTTTTTAAGTTTCATCATCCGTCTTCTATTTCATGACTGGATACCTTGCCATGTCAACTCGCTCACTCTTCCTTCTATTGATAAAAGAGAAAAAGGTTAAGGCCTAGAGAAAGATGCGACTTTATATTAGTCTTGAAGTGGGCCACACATAGCCTAAACCGTGTTGCATATACTCCTACATTGTTTCCGACTTTTGCCATCAAAATCCTAAAACTCATATTTGCTACCTCTTGACAACAATGCTACAGATGCTTTGAGACACATAGATCATATGTCAATACAAGGCTCAACGCTTCAACATCAACCGGATTTGCTGTTGTTAGGATCTATAATCAAATCACACATTATTCACATGGTTCAACAATTTGCCTACATCCATGATTGTTGCTAGGATTCTTATTTACTTCGTATACCTACCTCATGCATTTTCAGTAACACACATCCATAGAAGAAAGACTTTGCTCCATGCATATGAAGAGAACTAGTAAGAGAGAGAAACTGTATCATGAATCGACAACTTATTAGCATAACTGTTTTCTTTCAGAATTTGGGTCGTAGAGCATGAAACTTTATGTTTGAGATAATTGCTAGTTGAAGATAGCATTTGAATTTATGCAGTATATATATATATATGTGTGTGTGTGTGTGTGTGTGTGTGTAGTAAATCTATAACTATGTAGTGCCTTTTGTCTTTGAATGAAATGCACCATGAAGGTTATTTCAGTTGGTAGTAAGTTTTCTGGGGTGGGGTGGTTTTGTTGGGACATTTGATAAAAACTAAATGAAAAAGTGTGAATTGATTAATAGTTCTCAATGATTTAGAAGCTTTATGTTGAACTGAAACTGAATGAAAAAGTGTTGTCTATATGAAACATTCGAGTAACATGAATAAGCAAACCAAACCAAACGATCCCAGTATATTCTGTCCGTGGGTGAGGTCTCGGGGGTAAGATGTACGTAGAATTGACCTCTACCCCAAGGAGTAGAGCTGCGGCTGTTTCCATGAAGCAAAACCTGTGAAAAGTGTGAGCATGCTAATAAAGATGTTGTACAATGTTAATCTTATGAGTAACATGAATCTACAATATTATCCTATGAACTTCTCAAATAAGGTGTTGCTTGATATAATTAAAATCCTATCTTCAAAATGACAAAATGGCTATATCTTAAGTGACATGATTTAAGCATCATCCATCAAAGTTTGTACTTTGAATTTTTGAAATTTTAATTTAAGCATCATGCCGAATAAAGAAAAACAGTGTTATATACAAAAAATGAACAATTAATTTACAATTTTAAAATTCCGAACTTAAGATGAAAATAGCATAAATTTAAACAAACGACCATATTATAACACCTTTTAGTAAGGAATCTAGTTAAATAAAAAAACATTTTATGTAGATTAAAATTCAAAGTTATGATTTTTCCACAATGTACAAGTATTCATGACAGTCTTTTATTCAAATTTAAGAATACTCTTTTTCTTATTTTCCAATAAAGTACTTTTGGTCTCTTCTCCAACATTTCCTCTCACTCTTTTAAAGAAACTTCTAAAAATCACATTCCCAAAAATCCGTCTTTGTTTTCTCGTTGTCTTAACTCTCAACAAATATGAAAGGAACCATTCTCGATGAATGATAATCTTTGGAATCACAAGTGATTACGACAATTGCTTTAAGCTCACCCTTAAGGGGATCATACTGGTAACCGGTGATCCATTATGTAATAGCTTCTATCTGTTTTCTTCTAATTTCATTTTGCAAATTCTTGGAGTTCCATTTTTGTTGAAGATGTGCAAGATGGATATGATTGTCAAAAAGCTTTTAATGAATAGGTAAATAGTGATGTTTCTTGCTGAATCACGGAGAGGTTGTCTTAAGGACTCGGTTGTTCTCTTTTTCATCGAAGAACCAAACGTCTGATTGATCCAGAAGTTAAGACCATTCAGATGTGTCAAGTGATAAAAACATCCCCATAATAAGAGTTACAAGCCATTTACCGAATACTTACCGGGTAGGCGCTTAGCGGTAAGAGTTGCCACCTCACTTACCTTATTGGGTGATATTCTCGGCCATCAAAATGGATTGTTGGCAAGCGTCTTTTATCCGGTAACCCTTTCTCCCCCACTTACTGAGTAAGATTTCTGGTACATGTGGTAAGTGCTTACCAGTAAGAGTTTAGTAAACGGCCCCCTAGTTTGATAGAGAGTCCTAAGCTTCCATATGCTTATTTGTTTAGCTTATAGTGCATTCATTTGGGTCTTTTTCGATATACCAACATAACAGGAAAGTTGAGTGCTGTTCATTCCTTACTTTGTCGGTTTGATCCTCTTGTTTCCAGAAGGGCTTAAAGATCAACTTTCTAATTCTTTACTCTTTTGAAATCCTTTGCAGTTATCATGGACTTTCGATAAAGAAGGTACGAAGCTAGAGTGGCGATGGAAATTTAAACCAGCTGAAAATTGTAAGACGATAACTGCAGGAATATTGGACTTCCTGATGGATGCTAACATACGTTTAAGTGTAAGATAATGCATTGCCGTTTTGATTCATATCTTCAGATTGTTTACTATGCTTGTAATATTGAGGATCTGATGTAAATTGGTAACAATTGACTGATTGAATATTGAAATTGAAACATAAAATGGTAGGTTCCAGACTTTCGAGAGGTCTGGTTCTCTCCCTAAGAGTTTTCACTCAGTTTGAATATACAAAACAAAGTGCCTACCACTAACAACTTTTCTCCACTCAAAGGAAACTCTCTCACGCTCCTTATTCCACCGAAGAGTACCAAAAATACCCTTCTCTTATTTACATTAACAACTAAGACCCTTTAACTATTTAGACCCTCTTCTTGTAAGTAAAATGAATAGGAGGCTTATCAATACCTCCCTCCAAAACTTTCACCTTGTCCTCAAAGTGACTGTTGGGAAACTGTTGAATCAAAGCTTCTTCTAAATTCTTCCAAGTAGCTTCAAAATTTGATAACCCCTTCCATTTAACCAAAACTTCTAAGCTTCCTGGGTCACCTTGCACCATTGCTTCAGGTTCCACTTATAGTACCATCTCTTCAGTCAATTGAGCTGGAATGTCTTTCGAAGATGCACAATTTCCCACAGCTTTTGGAAGTTGAGACACATGGAAAACAAGATGTATCTTCACCCCCTTCGGTAAGTCCAAACGATAAGCCACTTTACTAATCTTCTCCAACACTTTTTAAGGACTATGCCAACAATTTTGGGCTGTTCCCTTTAACCAAAGATTTCTGTCGGTACGATCTCAATTTCAAGAACACCCACTCACCCGAAACCAAGTCCAGTTCTGTCCTTTTCAAATCAGCATGTTGTTTCATTCTGCATTAAGCTTTCAAGAGATGTATTCTCACTTCATCCCAAATCTCATCCCGATTCATCAATTCGACATCAACCGATTGGACTATAGAGGAGAAACTCTTATATCTCAATAGCGGGGGTGGATCTCGGTCATATAACACTTTGAAAGGAGAACATTTAAGGGTTGTATGGAAAGCTGTATTGTACGACAATTCAGCCGATGGTAACCATCTACTCCATTGACTAGGTCGATCTGAAATCCAGCATCTTAAGTATTGTTCCAACCTCCTATTAACAACTTCTGTCTGCCCATCCATCTGCGGATGATAGGCTGTGCTGAACTTCAAAGTTGTGCCTTGCAGCTTGAATAACTTTATCACGATAAGAGATTATAGAACTTGGTATGCCATGCAAGCGTACAATTTTCTTTGACAAAAATCTCTGCTACGGAATGAGCTGTAAATGGATGCTTCAGTCCCACAAAGTGAGCGTACTTGCTGAACCTATTGACCACCACTAGAATAGAGTTTATTCCTCCCGAAGTAGGCAATCCCTCAATGAAATCCATCGAGATATCGTTCCATATTGTACTCGGAAGTGATAACGGTTGTAGCAGACCCGAAGGAGACCCACTTAACACTTTGTTTCTTTGGCACGTTTCACATTCTTTCACCATATTTGACACATTTTTTCTCATGCCTACCTAGAATAATTCTGCTGCCATTCTTTGATATATTCTTTCCTCCCCATTATAACCACCAATGGGTGTCGCATGAAATTCTTCGAATATAAGGGAATAATCCCCGATTTCCTAGGCACCACCAATCTGCCTTTAAAGAATAACAGATCTTGCTGCAACTCAAACCCTTTATGCGCACCTGCATCTTCCAATAAGTTTGCTTTTATTTTCATCAAGAACAAATCTTTTTCCAGCTCTTTATTAATATTTTCCACTGCCTCCATGATGGTATACTCAAATTCAAACATTCCAAGCTTTCTTCCTTACGGGAGAGTGCATCAACAGCCTTATTTGCACTCCCTTGTTTGTACACAATCGAGAGATTGTATCCCATCAGCTTACTCATCCATTTATGATATTTTGGTTCCACCACACGTTGTTCCAACAGGTATTCCAGACTCTGTTGGTCGCTGCGAATTGTAAAGTGTCGTCCCAACAAATAAGGTCTCCATTTTTTAACTGCTAGAACAATAGCCATAAGTTTCTTCTCATACGTCGACTTCTGCCGAGCTCTCGTCCCCAGCACCTGACTAAAGTAAGCCACAAGTTGTTCTTTCTGCATTAGAACAGCCCCCAAACCAAATCCCGAAGCGTCTATCTCCACCACAAAATCTGACGAAAAATCAGGAAGTTTAAGCACCGGAGGTGAGGACAAACTCTCCTTTAACTTTTCAAAAGCCATTTGTGCCTCCTCGGTCCAACCAAATTGATTTTTCTTTAACAAATCCGTGAGAGGACTAGCTATAACTCCATATCCTCTAATGAACTTTCTGTAATACTCCCGACAATCCCAGAAAACCTCTTAATTCTGACACTGTACGAGGCACTTTCCAATCTAGTATTGCCTTAATTTTAGAATCATCAACCTTTACTCCTTTACTAGAAATGATGTGGCTTAAATACCCCAAACTCTCCCGACCGAATTCACATTTCTTCTTATTGGCATACAATTTATAATGAGACAACAAATCAAACACTTGTCTCAAATGGCCAAGATGCTCCTCCATTGATCGGCTGCAAACCAATATATCATAAAAAAACTAGCACAAATTTTCTCAAATAATTCTTGAAAACTTCATTCATCAGCCCTTGAAATGTAGAGGGTGCATTTACTAAACCAATGGGCATTACCTTGAATTCGTAGTGACCTTGGTGCGTCCGAAACGCCGTTTTTTGAATGTCTTCATCCTTAATACGAATCTGATGATATCCTGATTTTAAATCAAGCTTAGAAAACACTTGAGCAGTGAGCACCATGCAACTCATCCAACAACTCATCTATAACCGGTATAGGAAATTTATCTACTACGGTTGCCTTGTTTAAAGCTCTATAATCGATGCAAAATCTCCAACTGCCATCTTTTTTAACTAACAATATCGGACTTGAAAAAGGGCTGCTGCTCGGTCTTATAATTTATGCTTCTAGCATCTCCTTTACCAATTTTTCGATCTCGTCCTTTTGATAACGAGGATAGCGATAGGGCCTTACATTAACTGCATCTGTACCCTCTTTCAAAATAATCTCATGCTCCTTGCCTCTCATCGGTGGTGACCCCTTCGGCATATTAAACACATGATCAAATTCTTTCAAAACAGTTTGTACCGTTGGTAAAACTTCTTGGGACACTTCACTAATCAACATACAAGCCCCAAACTCCATTAACACGGCTTGACCTTCCTGTTGGATTAGTTTTCCCATAGTCTTCAATGAAACTAAAGATTTACCCAAAGCTGGATCACCTTTCAATGCCACCGACTTTCCTCCGACCGTGAACTTCATAACCTGCTGCTTCCGGTTGGTATAGGTTGCTCCCAACGTTTCCAACCACTGTATCCCCAAAATCACATCACTGTTACCCAATTGAATGGGCAAAAAATCCTCGACAACGTCCAAACTTTGCACCGTCAAAATAACATGTCTACAAATTCCATCTCCCATCACCTTATTCCCTGTCCCCATCGTTATTGTATATTCCTTCGTTTTATCGACCTTGAGATTCAATTTTTCAAGAATCTCTTTCGAAATGAAATTGTGCGTCGCACCGCTATCCATGAGGATTACAACCTTTTGGTCTTCAATGAATCCTTCCATTTTCATGGTTTTAAGATTCGTTAATCCCACCACCGAGTTAAGATGAACCTCCACTTCCTGACCCACCTTGACCACATCAGTTGCGTTTAACGCTGTATTTTCGTCATTATTGTCACCCGATTCAATTACTTCTTCCTCCTAAATCAGCAGAACATTCAATTCCTTCTTCTTATACTTATGGCCCGATGAATATTTCTCGTCGCAACGATAACAGAGGCTCAAGGCTCGTCTCTGTTGTACCTCCTGATCGGACAATCTTCTGTACTCAGATCCTGCTCAGTTTGTCGAATTAGCCATCGTATTTGAATTATTCCCTGAATTAGTACTTCTAGAGATACTCCTATTACCAACAAACATTGACAACAATTTCTTCGATCTTGAGATCGACCTCTCCTTTCAATCACAATATTCTTCACTTCAATTTTCATTGCTATCTCCATCGCTTCCTCTAACGTTACTGGATTTAGGAGACGCACCTTTGCCTTGATTGAATTCTCCAAACCGTTTATGAATTGACTCATAAACACTTCCTCTGGAATTCCTTCTAACGGTGCAGCTAACTCTACGAATTTCATCTTAAATTCTTCCACCGTGCCTTCTTGTTTAACGGGCATAAATTGTTCGCACAAAGTTCTTACCGCCGTCAATCGAAATTGACGCAAAATCAGTCTACGAAGATCCTCCCATCGCAAAATTGGATGACGTCTATTCTCCCATTGAAACCATTTCAGAGCTGCTCCTTCAAACACTATGAAAGAAACGTCAATTTTCTCTTCTTGTGATGATCGGTTCAGAGAGAAATAACGTTCTGCTCTGAGAACCCAACCATTGGGATCGCTTCCGTCAAACGTTGGAATTTCAAGTTTTCGGCCTTTCACAGCTAGGAATCGACTCGATTCCTGTTTGTCGTCGTTCCTCCTCTTCGACCTTCCTGAATTGTCCGCATCCTCTCCATCTGATGAACCTGACGAATTCAATTTACTAGCCACCTTATTGCTTAATTTCTCAATTTGCTGTGCATTTCGCTCCCGACTTTTCTCAATTGAACCAACGTTGCTTTCTAAATCTTCAATTCTTGTTGTCGCACTCCTTGTCGCCATGGCTGAATCTTACCGCTCTGATACCAATTTGGTGTAAATTGGTAACAATTGACCGATTGAATATTGAAATTGAAACAGAAAATGGTAGGTTCCAGACTTTCGAGAGGTCTGGTTCTCTCTGTAAGAGCTTTCACTCAATTTGAATGTACAAAACAGAATGCCTACCACTAACAACTTTTCCCCACTTAAAGGAAAGTCTCTCACGCGCCTTATTCCACTGACGAGTACCAAAAATACCCTTCTCTTATTTACATTAACAACTAAGACCATTTAACTATTTAGACCCTCCTCTTGTAAGTAAAACGAATAGAAGGCTTATCAGGATGTTAAAAGAATTTATTCAAATCTCCAATCTAATATCTCTTTTATTTATTACTCCTCCATCCCAAAATAAACGTATACAATGAAAAAAGGCGCACAGTTTTGGAAAATGTGTAATTATTACATTTTTTAATGAAGTAAATGACAATTTTACTGTTAATAATAGAGGGAATAACGAATTTCTCCATCTCATAATTAAGGGCAGAATTGGAAAGTATGCATTTAACGTTGATGTTTTTAGACAATAATAAAATAGAAATGTCGACACTTATTTTGGGACGGAGGGAGTACTTATTAACGTCGTTGCTATTAAAAATCTGGTATGTTGATGTATCTTGGTTAATTTACCTTATTTGTTTAATATTATTTTCCCTTTCGAAATTTGATATGCTTTTAGTGCTGATAACTTTTCTTCTAATATAATAGGAGGAGGTTGTCATGAAAACACGGTCAAATGAGAAACTTAAAGCGGAAGCTGAGAAGTGTTTAGCGCAAAGTGAGAAGTTTCAGAACGAGAAGGCAGAGTTTGAAACGACAATTTATACAAAGGTACTAACACATTCATAGAAATGAATTGAAGGAAATAAATTAGAGGTTTAAAGGAAATAAACTAAATGACACTACTGATCGAACAGCACGACTTCACAACAGGGGTGCAGGCTTCGTTTGAACCCGTTTTCTTATCTCCCATTGATCCATAGGAGAACCCATTAACTCTCAACTCTCGGGTTTGCTAGTAACTCAAAAGTAGCTACTAATATATCTTCTATAATAATTGAAATTCATCTATTAACTAACATCTCAAAGGATTGTTGTGTGCTTGATGTCATAGACGGCTATTACATCTGAAATTTGATGGAAAAATGTCTGAATGTGTTCCGAGCCCAATTATCTTCAGATGCACCTTATAGCCTCTATTTTGGAACATGCAGTTTTGACACACAGGGAGATTTGTACTCTATCCGTCCCATTGAAAAAGGAGCGACTTTATAAATTAGAAAAGAGTTTAACCGACAATTTTTTTGTGAGCGAGATTCTACCACACACTATACCAAATGAACCTATCTATTGTTAACTATGGCAACGTAGGCTAGTCATATTTGTATGTTCTCGGTTTTAGATGCCCACATCGACTAGACTTGATCATTTCTTCTTTATACATGTTGGAGCCTCCCTTCTCTCCTCCATGGCTCTTTTGGAGAGTATTCTAATGGGGTTTCACATATTCTTACATGATATCAGAGCCAAAGTCTAAAGCTCTAGGGACTGGACTGGACAATCTAGGAAAGCCTGTACTCGTTTATCCCCCTCTAGACGCCGTGCCTGTCTAGTCTCCGTTGGAGGAGGCGTGTTAGAGTCCCACATTAGTTAGATTTAAATGTTTCATGCTCTATATATGTTGGAACCTTCCTTATTTCTTTAAAGGGCTCTTTTGGAGAGTAATTTAACGGGGTTCCATTTATTTTTATACTGGGATCTAGAAAGTTATGCCCCACATCCAACATTAAGATCCTTGAATGCTATTTTATGCAATTGTAATGACAAGAGTTGGATATTTCAATCTTGCAGTTTGTTGGTGTGTTAAACTCAAAGAAATCAAAATTAAGGGAGCTTCGAGACCGACTGTCAAATCAGGAAAGTACTACAAATTTACAGGAAGATGAGGAAGCGTCGACTGACAAAACCGAGACTTTTGATGGTGATAGCGAAGATGAAGACTCCACCATGGATGTTACGAGCACTTCAAAGGATACTCCAGGAAACAAACCTCGTGGTCGAAAAAGGAAGTAAAACCCGTCAATTTAAGTCGTAACCGTAGTGCTTGGTGTATCGCCCTTCGTAAAATGGCACTTCGCTTTCAGTTGTACTTGGTGCTGATATCGAGTCTATGTATATAGAGTTGGGTTTTGCTTTTGGCAAGGAAGGCTTACCACTTATGTCCAAACTTATGTCGCTTTTGGTTTCTACGAAAATGCAAAAAAATTTATACATTGAGCCGTTTACCAACACAAATTGGGTAGCGTTAACCGAGCAAAAGCACAAGTTGGGTAAAAGATTTGGTTTAGAGAAGCTCTAGCTGAAAATGTTTCTTTTCACCAGAAATCTTTTTAGCCTGTTTCTGGGGTTCTTTATACTTTCAAATTAGTATCAGAGGCAAGATCTGCCACTCTAGTCACTTGACACTTGTAACACCCATAATTTTGGAGGAAATGGTTGGTGCATGGCCGGGAAAATGATTGAACAACGGTTGGGCGACCCTACTGTGACCTTCACATGCGATCCTAGGATCTCGGGCAAGGGACACATAAATCACCCGAGGGTTAAAAGCGCGATTTTTTTGGGGTTTTCTTCATTTGGTCATAACTTTTTCATTTCTTATCTGATTTTGACGAATCTTGATTCTATAGATTCGTATTTTGAAGCTCTTCAAGAGGAAATTGAAGAGGATTAAGATTTCTTGGTGGTTCAAGAGTATTTTTAAGGTAATTTGTCATCCCTCTTCATCCGAAAAACCAGGGTTTTAGTGTTCTTCACCCCTTTTCCAATTCTTCCCACTTCAGTGTAATCCATTTTGGTGTAATTTTGGGAGTATTTGTTGTATAATAAGCACTGTGGAATCTAGATAGGTGAGTTTAAGTTGTTTTGTAAAAACTATTTACATGTCAAGAATGTCCATTTTGGACTCTTAAAATGTTTTTCATAAGATTTATCAAATGATGTTGGTTACTTGATGAAATTGCATCTTTGCACATTTAATTTTATCAAATCTTGAGAGGTACACATATTTGGGGTTTTTGGATATTTTGATAAATAAATCATAAGAATGTGTCTTTTGATAATTTATTGCATAAATAAAAGATTATTTGACGGTAATGCACTTTTGGTATTTTAACTTTATAAATCATTCGAAAAATGTGTATGGTTGAGTTGTTGGGCTTATTTTGGGTGTCATTACTTATTTGGAAATGCTTTCTTGAAGTTATGGTGTGTTTTGAGGTTTTGTCCAACCTTTTAATAAAAAATAAAGCTGTTCGTATCAGTTGGGACATAAATTGTATAAAACATAACGTATTTATATTTTATTAGCTTATACTGTTTTTTATGGAATAGTCGATTCATCAGTTACGAACTTTTTTATTTTGAAAAAAGAGATCATAACAATGCTGATATGTCAATTTATTAGTTAAATTTTTTGTTGATATGAATATTTATTTCATTATTGCTACTATATTAATTTTTAATTAAATAATTATGAAAAAAAAATCTTTCCATAATCAATCCTTTGAATTTTACATAACCAATCATTTATCTGGTAAGTATTTATCGTTAAAATTCAACACTATCATTTTTTTTTATTAACCTGGATATCCAACTCGCTTTGCGAGCCAACTAATCCCAGCGCGACCACATGCTTTGCAGATAGCCCAAAGTCATTGCATTTGAACCTCCGTGGCCACAAGGGGATTTTTAATCCTCCTTGATTTTGAACTTAAGACCTCCTGATATTTTTGACCTTTGGAGTCAAACCCAAACCAATCAGGCGCCACCCTTGTAAGATTATAGTCAACAAAAACGACTTTATATGTAACAATTTACCCGATAAGAGTTGGCTGCTGGCGATGGTTGATGGGGGGATATGGTGGCGTAGGGAAGAGGATGATGGGAGGAGTAGGTAAATTGGTGATCCAGATTAGATATGTTGTAGGGATATGGTGGCATGTAATTTGAGATTTCAGACCCTTGAACTTTCGATTTAGATGTGAGATTAGGTAGTATTTTCTTACACATTATCATTCTCTCTCTCTCTCTCTAATGGTATTTCCTCCAAATCTTCGTTCTTTTGAAGGAAGAAGTGGAAATTCATGAGGAAGAAATCACAACGAGGAAAACCACCGACAAATATCATCGTTCTTTATTATCTGCAAGCCCCTAGCAGTAGCTTCTTCCTCAACCTTGGCGGTTCGATCTTTGTATTGGTTTGGGTGTCACCGTCAGAATCGAACTCCAAATCTACAGGTGCAACCACAAACCTCTATTTTTATTTATTAGAAATATCTCAATTTTAATGTTCCGTTTTATTACGTATTTATGTCGATATAATACGGTTTTTAGTGGTTTTGAAAAAGTGATAATGTTTTTATTTTTGAATAAAATATAAATATAAATATATTTATAAAAATTTGGGGAAAAATATATCCATATTAGTATCAAATTTACTATTTAAATTCAAAAATGAAGCTCTAATAAGTTGTATTTACGCACAATTTACCCCTGATCTTGAATTTTAAGTAATATGCATCAATAAACAATATTATATACATAAAAATAGTTTTTAAGAGTTTTTATCAAATGCTTTATAATATAGTATAGATTTATTGTAGCCATCAACATCTTACTCAAAGATGTCATGACTCAAAGAAACCGGAGAAAAGGGTTTGTATTTTTATTTATTTATTTGAAAGATTGATGACACAATTCAGTGTTTTTAATGGTTATGAAATTTGTGTAAATCAAATGATCAGTTAAAGTCTGTTTTGAAGACCCGTCATTTTGATGATTTGACATACTGTCTTTTAGTACAATGAGATTGGAAGCTCATAGTCTGACCGCTAGGAAGCGTGTCAAAGAAAACGGACATGAAAAAGCTTTCAATCGAAGAATTTTGAGGATGACACTGCACTTCATATAAACGAAGTACGTCCAAATGATTCTCATTTCCGTTAACACAAATGAGTTGTGTAATTGTCAAGCCTTTCGTTTCAAAATGTTTTATGCAAAAAGAAGTCCCATTTTTTTCATCGACTTTTACATGACTGTCCCAAATATTTCTAACTTTCAATTTTTTTTCCGTATTCTATGACGATTATTTTCATATCCAGCAATATTTTTCAAAATATGGACATTCATACTGTATCCCATACTTTCGGAATTTCAAATCATATATTGTCTTTCCTACAACGACTTTTTATCAGATTGAAACAACTATTTTAAAGTACGTGTTACTGTAATCTTGGGGGTGGGTGAGGTGAGAAAGGTTGTTTGACACAGTATTTTTGTTTTTCAACAAATTTCAACTCAAAACACGTAATAGTGCCGAACAGTTAAATAGTTCACATGTAAACTAATTAACAGGTTCACATATGAACCTGTTTGCCGCCTATTTGTAAAGATTATGAAACTACCCCTCTATCTTTCCGCATAGCCAGGAATTATCTGATGCTTCACAATTAAAGCCGCAAATGTTGACCAGATGAAAACTATGATAACTTTTTTATTTCTCAAATACTTACCACTTCTCAAATGAACGTTTCCCCATCTAAATATAATCAATCTTTGATGATTAGAAACTTGTAAAAGATATTACAATATTGGTTTGATAGTTTGTAAAAGATATGTTAAAAACGTTTGTTTTTCAATAATCAATTAATAATAAGGTAATTTAATTATTTTTATAATTATCTGTAATTTGTTTCTACAAATTATTTATAAAGAATGAAATTCAATTCCATTCCAAATCCTAAAAATAAAAAACACCAAACATTCAAAATCTTTCTAAATCCAATCCCTCAATTTCCAAATCCTTCCACGAAATCCAAAATCCTTGAAACTGTTCCATCAAATCTAACCCCCCATAAGGGGTTGTTTGGCAGTTGCTGAATGGTTTTGTGCATAATCATTAAATGGTCAGAATGATTAAGAGATTTCTCATGATATAGTGCAAAATGAAATATAATTGTTTGGTAATTGTTTACAATGAAATTAGGGCTCTTAATGGTTAAGGGAGACCGATGATACAAAATTATTCAGAGGGTTTTAATTAGAACCATTAAGAGACATATTTTTTTTGGCCAAACAAGATTCACATCTTAACGATTCAGAGGTCGCCTCTTAATGAAACTATTAAGAGTTAAACAAACAACCTTTTACGGATGCAAACTATAATGACTAAAAATGTAAAGAATATAAAAACCAGGGATGAAAACTAAAAATTTTAAGAAACCAAAGGGACAAAAAAACGTACTTTATACCCTTTAATTTAGGGTTACACACCAAAATATCTACGGGGGATGATGATGGTGGTGATGACGATTTCAAAGAACTCTGCTTTCTATATGTTGTTCAACATATTCAAAGGTACCTCTCGTACTTCGCTTCTTTTTATCAAAACCCCTTTCTCATCTTCAGAATTAGCTTCTGGAATCCGTCCTTCCCAAACGATTCTAGCTCATTTTCATTTAAAGTCTGCTTCGAATCATGAACCACAGTTTGATCGTCCTCGATCTATCTTTGAAAAGGTTACTAAGCTTGATCATGCCCTCAAACTGTTTGATGGAATGATACAAACACAACCTCTGCCCTCTGTTCCTAAATTCAACCAGTTGTTACAAGCTATTACCAAAATGAAACACTATTCTCATGTGATTGATCTTTTTAAAGAAATGACAACCCTTCATGTCCCTATAAGTGTGTACACTACTGCCATTGTGATCAAGTGTTGTTGCCAAACGTATCGCACCAGTGAGGGTTTTGCAATCGTAGCCTATGGCTTCAGACATGGTGTTGAACCTGATATGTACATCTTTAATGCGATCCTAAATGGACTCATCCTAGAAGATAGGATTCTCGAGGCAGAAAGATTATTCAAGAAGCTGATCAAAGGGAAGCTTTGTGTACCTGATGTAGTTATGTACAACACCATGATTAAAGGGCTTTGCAAGTTTGGCAATAATGAAACAGCCGTTGCTTTGGTTAAGCTAATGGATGAAAGGGGCTGTAAACCTGATGTTGTCACATACAACATCATCATCGATAGTCTTTGCAAAGACCAAATGGTAGATGATGCTTTAGAGCTCTTCAAAGATTTGATCTTCCATAAAGGCATCCTACCTAGTGTTATCACTTACAACAATGTGATTCGTGGCCTTTGTAACTTAGGGCGTTGGGATGATGCCTCTAAAATGCTCAAAGAAATGGAGGAGGATGAAAGGATATCTCCAAATCTTATAACCTTTAATATATTAGTCAATGCATTTTGCAAGGAAGGTTTGGTGGAAGATGCAGCGGCTGTTATGAACATCATGATCGAGAGAGGAAAGAATCCCAATTTAGTGACATACAACTCACTTATTGATGGATATTGTTTACGAGGTGAAATGAAGAAAGCAAGGGAAGTTTTTGATTCGATGAGGATTAGAGGCCCGATCCCTGATCTTGTGACTTACAATAGCTTATTGAATGGCTATTGCAAAAAATTGATGATAGATGAGGGCATGCATTTGTTTCATGAAATAACTGAAAAAGGTATGAAACCCAATATTGTCACTTACAGCATCCTGTTACAGGGATTGTTTCGAGTTGGACGTTGTAAAGCCGCACACAAACTTTTTAGGGAGATGCAAGCACACAACCAGATTGCAGATGCATGCACGTATGGAATAATTTTAGAGGGTCTATGCAATAACCATCTAATGGAGGAAGCAATGTCTTTGTTTCGTTTGATGGGTGACAACGAGCTAAATTCAAATATTATTGTATACAATATCCTCATGGATGGTGCATGTAAATGTGGGAAGCTTGATATCGCAAGGGACCTCTTCAGTGACCTAAGTGTTAAAGGTTGGCATCCTGATGTTAGGTCATATACTATGATGATTAGTGGTTTTTGTCGAGAAGGTCTAGTGGGGGAAGCAAAAGAGTTGTTTCTCCAAATGAATGAAAGAGGCTGCCCACCAAATAGTGCCACGTACAACGTTCTTCTCCAAGGATTATTAAAGAACAAACAACTTGACACGATAGAAACGCTTTTACAAGAAATGGAAGGAAGAGGTTTCTTACTTGATGCTTCAACTTTAACCCTGTTTCTTGTTCACATCAAACCTGGATCAGCTGATGCTACTCTCCTTAAGTCGATTGGTAAGCTTGTGCCAAAGCAAGGAGCGCATCCTCAATGTTTTACTATGTAGATAGCATATGGAGATTATAAGGTACGCCCGCTCATCCGTAGTTTGCAAGTTTATTGCAGTTCAGCTTGTTTGTTCTCCAATATCGAGATTACCGTTGTGACTATTTCTTGATGTATTTGCTTACTTGTTCTATCTCATGTCACATTGATGGCCCACTTAACATTTAAAATTATGTTATAGGTGTTCCTATATGTAGGTGGTTTAATATCCAATGTTACTTATTTATCATCATCAGTTCTACTCCTAGATGGCTAATCCTTAATCTTGATGTTGATACTCGGAAAGTAAGACGCAGGAATGATATATCCTCCTATTCATTTTGGTCGTGTAACATAGTTGGGCTATTTAGTGATGGGCTCAAATTGTTGGGCTCTTTTTAGGTTTAGGTTAGATTTATGAAATAAAAATTCATAACTTCTGAGATATGAAGTTGATCAACAATGTTTTAGATGATGTTAGTTTTGAATCTGAAATTCAGTTAGTTTGACTTTATATGTGATTTGAAACTTTACTTATTTCTTTTTACTTGTTAGGAGCACATATTTAGCTACCAAAACATACATATTAATATGAAATTTCAATAACTACTAGATGGACTTTTGACTGCCAAAATACACATACATGTATATAAAATTCTAATTATTATATGGACTGCTATTTTTGGACCGCTATACCACCCTTTTACCATGGCGAAAACCATTATATCAATTCACAGTTTTGCCTTGTGATTTCAGATTTTAACCAATATGACAGTATAGATTGTGAGACCTCATAGTCATATAATTGCACTTCCTTTTTTTTTCTCTTTGTAAATTTGAACTTAAAAGTTTTACCAAGTTGACATCAAAGGTTAATGGTTTTAGGGCTTTGTTTATTTTCCCTTCAATGAGTTTAATGACCATTAAGCTGTGTTTGTTTTTTGCTTAATTAATAAGGCAAAAAAAAGGATGGTTTATGTATTTTGCGGGGTGTTCATTTCTCGTTTCTAAACTCTCCCTAGGAAGGTAATGGTTGTTAGGTTTCATTGATATGAAATTAATGGGTTTCCATTGTTAGATTTTACTTTTTGTAACAAGATCTGGGTTCATCCGTTAATTTTTTTTTCCTGAATTTTTGTTGTTTATAATGTTAAAGAGTTTAGATTCCAATAATGGATTTGTTAATACTTATCTTTTTTTAGCTTAGATTTAGCTTAATTTGTTAATAGCGTTCTTTGTGAAAAAGGTTATTGGAAGTACGTTGGTATATATATAGGGTCAGGTCCATACGAGGACGGTAACCAAATTAAAAAAAAACGGTCGAAATCACATGTGATTCATGCGACCTCAGGTCACGGGCCAAGTCGTGTGCTCACCCTTGCTTTGACTTGCTCCACAATTCCATGTAAAACCACATGTGATTTGGACCTTTTCTTATTCTCTTATTTTGACTTTGTTCTTTTTGATCCCCCCTCTATATATACATATATATAGGGGCTTAATCATTTGAGAACCCAACTGAGAACTATTATCGTAACGTATTGTTTCACATAATTTTTTTCCATCTAAGGATAGAATTTAATATGCTGTTCAACATATATTTCTTTTCACAATGTGTTTATTTCATACGTATTCCGTTCACAATGTGAAACTATTTAGTTGTAATTTTTGTTTCACAAACACATATTAGATGTTCACATTGTGAAACATTCACATTGTGAAACTATTATATGTTAATCAATACACTAAATCCAAACCATAGATGGAAAAAGAACACGTGAAATCGCACAATATGCACCAATTCTCAAAGTTATTACATTTGTATGGGTTCTCACATGAACCCCTACACACATACATATATATATATATATATATATATATATGTATGAAACAACCTACCATGTACTAAGTAGTGCCAACCACAAAATCCAAGCTATAGCATATATCAGGTCCAATACATTTCAGTACCATTCACATGAAATAACGAAAGTCTGAATTCAAAAATTCAACATAACAAAAACTTTCTTCCATGAATCCATCGCATCTTTCCTTTGCCTTTATCCTTCAATGTTGGAAGACCTACAAAATAAATTATTACAACAACTGAGGGTTAGACCGAAAGGTCTAGTAAGTCAAGTTCCCTCCTATAAATAAAATCTGCCATAATACCTTTCAGACCTGATTTTAAATAAATAAATAATCAAACAATCATTGCGGTTACACCGCCATCTATTATCTATTGCGGTCACACCGCCATATATCATCTATCGTGGTCACACCGTCATTTCATCTATCGCGGTCATACCGCCATTTCAGACAATATTATGAGCAATGAGGAGACCTCACCGGACAATACTTTGGGCGATGAGGAGGTTTTACCGGAAAACACTTTGGTCGATGAGGGTTCTCATCGAACAACCCTTTGATCGATGATGGTTCTTATCGGACAACACTCTGAGCGATGAAGTTCAATCCGGACTACAATTTAGTTTATGAGGGTCCTTACCGGACAACACTTTGGTCGATGAGGTTCCTTACTGGACAACACTTTGGCCGATGAGGTTCAATTCGGACAACACTTTAGTCGATGAGGGTCATTACCGAACAACACTTTGGTTGATGAGGTTCAATCCGGACAACACTTTAGTCGATGAGGTTCAATCCGGACAAGACTTTAGTCGATGAGGGTCCTTATCCTGCAACACTTTGGTTGATGAGGTTCAATCCGGACAACACTTCAGTCGACGAGGTTCAATCCGGACAACACTTTAGTTGATGAAGGTCCTTATCCGGATGAAGCTTTGAAAGATGAAGGCTCAATCCCGATGAAGCTTTGAGAGATGAAGGCCATTTTATCTATCGCGGTTACACCGCCATTTCAGACAATATTATGAGTAATGAGGAGACTTTACCGGACAATACTTTGGGGATGAGGAGGTTTTACCGGACAACACTTTGGTCGATGAGGGTTCTCATCGAACAACCTTTTGATTGATGAGGGTCCTTATTTGACAACACTATGAGCGATGAGGTTCAATCCGGACAACACTTTAGTTGATGAGGTTCAATCCGGACAACACTTTAGTCGATGAGGGTCCTTATCTGGATGAAGCTTTGAAAGATGAAGGCTCAATCCGGATGAATCTTTGAGCCTTAATAATATGTTATCTAACACCATAACACAAACAGTTCTATATGAAAGGTAAATACTCATAAATTATCAAAGCCATGTAAAGCTCACTTTCAATCGAAGACCTCCTTGGATACTTTAATTCTTCTCTTTTTCAATCCGGTTTTTGCCGGCGTTTCTTTACCAAAACCAGTAACCAAACCTTTCTCAATTCCTCTTTCTTACTATGTATAGCAAGTATAATGAAGGCGGTGCATGCACATGCACAGCCTCCCCCCAGGGGCGGACCTGCTTGGTTGGCATGGGTGGCACGTGCCACCGTATTATTTAGCCACCGAAGGTTAAAAAATTTAGGTTTATTAACGGTGCTACCGTATCGTTTTGAAAGGTGCTACCGTATTTTTTCTGAATTTCAAATAGTGCAACTAAATCTAAAACCCAAACAAGATTAAGTCCAAATAAATTAGATAAGTAAGCCCAACAAATTGATTAATCTAATAACACTAGTTGTGTACCCGCGCAATGCGGCGGGAGCCATGAATTTTAACGATTTTGAAGTTCCACTGGTTTTATAAGATAAGATTTAGCGATGATATAGGTTACACTTGGTCTTTACATATTAATACAATTTGAATAAAGAGTTATGGTTCCAATTACAGACTATCAATGAAAAAATTTGTATGATAGTTTAAAATCCAATATATTTAAAATCCAACATATTTAAACAACTCCACAAATGTATTCGATTTACACCAAGAGCAAAGAACCAAGAAACTTGAGTTTTAAG